TTTTAACAAAGTGGAATGTAATTAATTTGGACTCGATTAACAACAAAATTTGAAAGATGGGTTTTAAGTATTTTTTTAGGTATATATTTTTAATGAAATCTTCTCTATTTTACTTGTTCATATTTGCTAATTAATAATAAACTGATAAACAAACAAATAGTAAGGCATAAACTCGAATAATCACTATTTTGTACTTTAATCATTTACTAATTGTAGTTTCAGAAAGCATTGAAAGCTGCAGATTTGTGTTTCTTTATTCAATTTTACAAAGAGTATTCTTCCTTCACTATGTAAAGTAATACTGTTACGACAGCGGAAGTCACGTGACGCTGCTGGCGCGTAGGCGCTGGTAGCGTGCGTGAAATTTCTCGAATGATCATGAATGATCGGGGAGGCCCGAGTGAATTCGAGAGACTCCTTTGTTAGTATATAAGCCTGACAGAGAAGCCAGCGATAGATAGATAATTGAAGAACGAACAGTAGTCACGGTAAGTAAAGTGTGTGAATCACTGTGATTTACAGCGTGTATTATAAAAGTTGTTAAGTTTAAAGTGACGAGAAACGTATTGACTGTGGAATTACTATGTATTAAAAGTTTGTATCGAGGACGAATAAACTGGTTTAATCAAGAAAGGACTTGTATTGCTGAAGTTACTCAGAAAGAATTTAGCCAGAAATGATCAAACAAGCAGATACGTAACAAACTGGTGTCAGAAGTGGGATGGAAAATAAAATAAAAAGATGCAAACGAGAAGTGGCAAATCAAACTACGACTTAGCAGATTTGATGGCAAACAATACAAGAACAGCAAAAGAAACAAGAAGAACAGGATAATAAACAAGAAAAGAGACTACAGCAGCGGTTGGAGGAGAAAGAAAAGAAACAAGAAGAGAGAGACTACAGCAGTGGTTGGAGGAGAAAGAAAATAAACAAGAAAAGAGACTACGGCAGTGGCAAGAAAACCAGCAACAGTGGCAACTGGAACAAGAAAAGAAACAGGAAGAAAGTCTCCAACAGTTGAGAGAAAGCCAGCATACACAAATGGAAAAGATTAGTAAATTTCAAAGTGAATTAAATACATTAAAGGACGATCTACTGTCTTTTACACAAGGAGGATATATTAACCATGGACCTAATCAGCCCCAGACAACAGGAAGCTCTTCTAGACCCTGCAGCTAAACCCTAATGCAGACATCTTCAGTCCTGCCAGAAGTCACATTCCAGACACGAGTGTCAGCAGTAGGGGTGATCTAGTACAAAGAAAGTCACAGGAATTCGATGGGAAGGCACCCTGGGAAGCATATAGAGCACAATTTGAGGTCCTGGCAGAAATGAATGGATGGACAAAGGAGCAGAAAGCAGTGTACTTGGCAACGAGCTTGAAGG